TTCTGCCAGTCCCATCCACCCTCTGCCACCCACCCTCTGCCTGTCCCATCCACCCTCTGCCTGTCCCATCCACCCTCTGCCAGTCTCATCACCCTCTGCCAGTCCCATCACCCTCTGCCTATCACACTGTGCCATCCCCCCTCTAACAGCCCTGCCATCTCTGCAGCCCATCCTATGCCAGCCCATCCCCGCTTCCCTGTGCCAGAGCAAGCACAGAGACCGCAGCAGGTATGTCACCCATCTACTGGGTGCTGGGATAGTGTGGGGATAGAGAGAGGGACATTAACCTACCGGGTGCTGGGATAGAGATAGGGGCATTAACCTACCGGGTGCTGGGATAGAGAGAGGGGCATTAACTTACCGGGTGCTGGGATAGAGAGAGGGGCATTAACCTACCGGGTGCTGGGATAGACAGAGGGGAGCATTAACCTACCGCGTGCTGGTATAGAGAGAGGGGAGCATTAACCTACCGGGTGCTGGGATAGAGAGAGGGGCATTAACCTACTGGGTGCTGGGATAGAGAGAGGGGCATTAACCTACTGGGTGTTGTGCTAAGGTGTAGCTGGAACTAAATTCTCCTATTGTAATGTGTTAAATGTCTGGATTTAACTCATTGTGTGCTGGTACAGGAACAAATGTTAACCTATGATTTTGAAAACTGGGTTAGGAAAATGCATTAACTGGTGTGATATCACAGGTGAAAATTAACCCATAAAGTGCTGTAGGGTTGAGTTTTGCTCTCGACTGCTGCAGAATAAGCAAGCATTGGCGTTTAGCATGGAATTCAAATTCAGTATTGGTCCATTAACAACACGCTAGGCATGCACTTTAACCCTTTAAATGATCTTTTTGTAATAAGTAGAGAAGCTTATTAAATGCTGATATAGAATAGAAATTAACCATGTAAGCGTCACACACTCAAGAAACAGTAACCATCTCTTTATTTAGTTTAATGTTGTTAACTGGATTCATTAATCATTCATGCCATTGTTAGTTTAACATTATGTAATGCTCTATGGTAAGTTAATGGCATCTCTGCAGTTGGCATTAACCAAGTCATAGAACAATGTAATGCTCGATCAGCTTTATCAATAGATATCCGCTCATTTACTTCCGCTGATAACACTTGCTAGATTTTTATTGCACTGCCTCCCCTGGGTTATGTTTTTGATATACACGTTGGGGTATACATCCTGCTGGGTTGGCCAGAGGTGAGCATTCAGCAGGCCATAAGCAGTGGGTGGAGTGCTGACCCCTACACACAGTGCACAGTAGCTGGGAGGCTTGTAGTAACAGAGGAATGGGAGGGGGACATTGTTTTTGGAGAGGGGGGCTGACTGTGGGGTCCTGGTGTACAACCGGCCAGCTGCTTCTGCACAAGATGGCTAAGACATGTACATCAAATAGTGTCGACCCCTGTATGGCATGTGCAAACATAGGCCTGGCCTCCGCACTGTCTGTCAGCAGAGTGGATGTTGGAAAGATAACCTGCGTGTGATAGATACAGCCACGGCAAGACAGCCACAGCCACGGCAAGACAGCTACGGCAAAATAGATACAGCCACGGCCACGGCAAGACAGCCACAGCCACGGCAAGACAGCTACGGCAAAATAGACACGGCCACGGCAAGACAGCCACAGCCACGGCAAGATAGACACAGCCATGGCCACAGCAAGACAGACACGGCCATGGCAAGACAGCTACGGCAAAATAGACACAGCCACGGCAAGACAGCTACGGCAAAATAGATACAGACACGGCCACGGCAAGACAGCAAAGCAAGACAGCCACAGCAAGATAGATACGGCCACGGCCACAGCAAGACAGACACGGCCACAGAGATAGGTTCAGACTTTAAGACACATTCAGTGTGAGATTAATGTAGATTGTGTGAGATATACAGTGACGGTTTTCTGTTAAGCTGTTTTCCCCTAATATCTTTCATTACTGACAATTCACCCTTTGGTGAATAACCCGGCTGACAGATATAGATGGGTCAGAATTTGCTTCTGAATTGCAGAATTCAGTGAAATTTCCAGAGAGCAGCGCACGTTTATGATGTCATAGTCCAATGTCCTAGGGGTCTCTCGAGAAGATTAATGATGATGTCACCAGCTTTCATCCTGAGATCAGGCCTAATGGTGCCTGGCCATGTAAAAGCATGTTATTCTGGCAAACTAGGAATCGTGTAACGCTGAGATATGCCGCTGTGATTGTGCATCATCGACGAGTGGGACGAGAGGAGCAGGGGGGACGGGGAAAGCAGACGTTGGGTGTGTTGGACCATTTGTCTGTAAACGCAGACAGTGAATTAATCGCAGGAAGGGCTGCGATGCGAAATCCTCCATTGCCATCTCTGCCACTCAGATGGCTCATTATCCCATTTATTTTAAATCTGTTACACTCATGGGTATTATACACAAAACCAGAATTGTGGCGATTTCACAAGGGAACACTAAATATTAGCCCAAAAGGAAGGCTGGAAGAAGTGTGCTTCATTTTGCCGTAAAATGTGCTTTTCCCTTGTGATGTCTCCTCAGCTCCTGGGTTACACATACGATACACAGTAGAAACGGTTTAGTTATTCACTAATGTGTAGATTGAAAGAAAATTTTAGGACAAAATAAGCCAAAACATTGCTGACTTTGCAGAAAATAAGCTGATTCAAGCCCAAGGAATAACCACGTACGGATACTCTGTCCTTAAAGGAACACTAGAGTGTTATACTAGCTAGTTAGATTAGTGCGCCCACCACAGAAATAAAAAGCAAATAATTTAAAGGGATACTCTTAGCACCAAAACAAATTAGCTTAATGATCAGGCCAGGCTCTGCGATGTGCGAGCTGTGTGGGCACACAGGACAACATGGGTGCCAGGCAGCCGGAGCAGCTCTCAAAAATACGGGTCACTTTAAGACGACCCAGCACGAGGGTACAGTATCCGAGGATACTGTTGCCTCCCATATAATATGCAATGTTTATTTAATATATTGCTGGATCTACAAGACTGCAGGAGAGAGAGCTGGAATTGAGAGTATTTTTTATGTGTATGTTTGGGTATGTCAGTGTATGTGTCTGAGCTTGTGTTAGTGGTGTGTATCTGTGCATGTGTGTCAATCTGTGGGTGTGTATATGTGTCTGTGGGCATCTGTATGTGGCAGTTCATGTGTGTTTTTTTTTTTTGTATGGTAATGTGCACATGTACGGGTGCATGGCAGTATATGTATTGGTGAATATACACCTGAACACAAACACACCCCTGCGTGTACACACACACACACACACAAACACACCCCTGCATACACACACACACACACACACACACAAACACACCACTGCTTACACATACACACACCAACACTATAATCAAACAAACCATTGCATTCAAACATAAAAACTACATTAAAAAAAAAACTTGTATTGAAATGCCAACACTACACACACATCACAGCATTCAAATGCCAACACTATAAACAAAAACACCATTAAAGCACAATATACACAGATATTCACACAAATATGCAACATAGCATGCCTAAATCCACACATAATGCTCACACATAGAACGATAGATACACAGCTGACAAACCATTGTTGAGCTATACAGCAGCCAAGGATCTACCTGGGCACACCCTAATCCCCGTGGCATGCCTATGGTTTGAGTCCTGCAGGAACAATGTTCCTGCACTTTTTTTGAGCAGGAAGGCTGTTCCTGCAGGCACTCAGCGCCCCCTGTCTCACCTCTTGCCCCTGTCATGGGGAGGGCAAGTGGTGATGGATAACCCCCCCTCTCTGCAGCTCAGCCGCGGCGACGGAGCGGTCTGCTCTCTGCTTCCTCTCGCCGCGCGCTGATGCCGGGAGCCGGAATATGACGTCATATTCCGGCTCCCAGCTACAGCAGACAGCTCCCTCGCCGAGAGAGGGAGCAGAGAGCAGACCGCTCCCTCGCCGAGGCTGAGCTGCAGAGAGGCGCCCGCCCCACTGGACCCCAGGGACAAGTCCACGCCAGCACTCCAGGTAGGAGGCTGGGTGGACATTTTTTTTAATTAAAATAAAATAATTTGTGAGTGTGTGTGTGTGAGTGTGTGTGTGTCTGTGTGTGAGTGTGTCTGTGTGTGTGTGTGAGTGTGTGTGAGTGTGTGTGTGTGTGTGTGTGTGAGTGTGTGTCTGTGAATGTGTATGTGTGTGTGTGTCTGTGAGTGTATGTGTGTGTCTGTGTGAGTGTGTGTGTGTGTCTGTGAATGTGTGTGTGTGTGTCTGTGAGTGTGTCTGAATGTGTCAGTGAGTGTGTGTGCGTACGCATATATATATATATATATACACACACACACACACACGCAGAGCCGGCGCTATCTGAGTGCCGGCTCTGCTCTAAGCCTCCATGGGCCGGCGGGGAGACCAAAGATCTACCTCACCAGCCCACAGCAGCATGGAGGGAGGCAGGAGAGGACCCAGGGAGCTCTAGACAGAAGCTCCGCCAGGTTCCTCTCGCGATATCTGAGCGTTGCTGCGGCAATGCTCAGATCTCGCGAGAGTTAACTCTAGCCCTGCAGGCTAGAGTTCACTCTCCACTGGACCACCAGGGATGGCGCATGGCAGCAAGGATTTACTAATCTGCCAAATCCCTCCAAACATACAGCACACACACATACAGCACCTACACACATACAGCTCACACACACAGTACACTAACCGCACCCTCACAAACACACACAGCACCTTTAAAAAAAACACAACACCCTCACACACAGCACACTAACAGCACCCTCACAAATACACGACACTCACACAAACAGCACCCTCACAAATACACGACACTCACACAAACAGCACCCTCACAGGACAAACATACACACACAAACACCCTCACACACAAACAGCACAGTCACAAACACACACACACAAACACCCTCACATCACACTAACAGCACCCTCACACACACATCACACTAAAAGCACACAGCACCCTCACACAGCACACTAACAGCACACACAGCAGTGTATGTGTGTGTGTGTGTGTGTGTGTATATATATATATATATATATATATATATATATATATATATATACATACACACACACACGCGCGGCGTGTGTTTGTGCTTTAGGGTGCACACCCTAATGCAATAGGCTGCGCACGCCTATGCCCTCATACCCCCTATAAACTAACACTACACTATTCTGTTATACACACTATACCCCCTATGCACACACTGTATACCCCTTATATACCCTCATACCTCCTATAAACCAACACTACACTATTCTGTTATACACACTATACCCCCTATGCACACACTGTATACCCCCATACCCCTATAAACCAACACTGCACTATTCAGTTATACACACTATACCCCCTATGCACACACTGTATACTCCTTATATACCCCCATACCCCTATAAACCAACACTACACTATTCTGTTATACACACTATACCCCCTATGCACACACTGTATACTCCCTGTATACCCTCATACCTCCTATAAACCAACACTACACTATTCTGTTATACACACTATACCCCCTATGCACACACTGTATACCCCTTATATACCCTCATACCTCCTATAAACCAACACTACACTATTCTGTTATACACACTATACCCCCTATGCACACACTGTATACTCCTTATATACCATACCCCTATAAACCAACACTACACTATTCTGTTATACACACTATACCCCCTATGCACACACTGTATACTCCCTTATATACCCTCATACCCCCTATAAACCAACACTACACTATTCTGTTATACACACTATACCCCCTATGCACACACTGTATACCCCTTATATACCCTCATACCCCCTATAAACCAACACTACACTATTCTGTTATATACACTATACCCCCTATGCACACACTGTATACTCCTTATATACCCTCATACCCCCTATAAACCAACACTACACTATTCTGTTATACACACACACTATACCCTCTATGCACACACTGTATTCCCCTTATATACCCTCATACCCCCTATAAACCAACACTACACTATTCAGTTATACACACTGTAAAGGATCCTTCTATTCGTGCAGCGATGATCCTTGCAGCTTCTCCCGAAATCCAGCTGAAACAAAGTGATTATAACTCCCAATCCCCCAAACATGAGTCGAGACTTCATGAAGTAGTAAACCGATCTGATTTACTGTGGGCTACCCGCCCGGTATTTATGCAGGTCTTCCACCTGGTGGACACTCCCCTAGGGGACCAGATGGAAGACTGGGACAAAAGTAACACAGTAGCCAATCACAGTGGCTATAGCATAAGCACTCCCCTTTTATCTAAATCACTCCCTCTTTTCCATCCTGGAGATAATTAACTTAAGGTAGCAAAGAGAGCCTTAATTATCCCCAGGAAGAAAGAAACATGGCTTTTCTTATTTTAGCAAAACAGCATAAAAATATATAACTTTCTTTTTACACAACATAAACTTTAAGTTCCACATATCCCCAGATAGCTTGGATCTGAGTGCATATTCTAGGCGAATAGCGCTCAGATCCCACGAACACAGTTCTCAGAATCGTCGACTGAAGTTTGATTTTCACCGGCCGTTCGTGTGTTTGTAGCCGACTGCAAGTTCCATACTATAGCTATCTGGGGTCGGTCACTTTCGCATAGTTTCAGCGCACGAATGAAGTAGTATCCCCTTCATTCGTGTGTTTTTCCACCGTATGAACGAGGATGGGAGAAGGTAGTTCGACAAAACAAGAAGCCAAAATCAGTTCCAGGGAATCCTCGCCATTTACTGCTGCGCGTTCGACAATGCAAAATGGCGATTGCCACGTGTTCGGTAAACGAACGCGGACCACCAGCTATTCCCCAATTAGTCTGTGGTTAACCGCAACAGTCAGGGTGGTCAATAGGCGCCACACGACCTCAGTGGGAGGTCGGTAGTTCATTCGCTTTTATTGCTATTTCCACGAAATCCCGCTGTAATCCTCCAAATAACCGAACAGGCTTGTTCGTATGGTCTGTAAATAGGGGATTTCGTTACACACACTATACCCCCTATGCACACACCGTATACCCCTTATATACCCTCATACCTCCTACACACTACACCTCATATAAACCCACTATGCTGCTATACACACACTATATCCATATAAACACACTATACCCCCTATGCACACACTGTATACCCCTCCTACACACACACACACACACCTCTTTTAAACCCACTATGCTGCTATACACACACTACATCTATATAAACACACACTATACCCCTATGCTCACACTGTATACCCCTTATATACCCTCATACCTCCTACACACACTACACCTCATATAAACCTACTATGCTGCTATACACACACTACACCCCCTATACACACACGCTATGCCCCTCATACCACACGCACACACACTACACCTCAAATAAACCCACTATATACACACACTACATCGATATAAACACATACTATACCCCTTATATACACTCATACCCCCTATAAACCAACACTACACCTCATATAAACTACACTATTCTGTTATACACACACCACATCCATTTAAACACTCAATATACCCCCAAACAGCACTACACACCATATATATATATATATATATATATACAAATAGCGAAGGCTTGCACTCCTGGTGTAATCCTGTGGTGCCCGGTGCTGGTCTGGCAAGGATCATGTAGACATAGCAGAAATGACCGCACTCCAAGGACTTTATAGAGATGTTTTGTCCTGATGAAAGCTCCATGTGGGAGCTGAAACGTTGACTTTTTAAATGGATTGAATAAAAGCTAAATTTTATTTGAAAATCTCTATAAAGTCCTTGGAGTGCGGTCATTTCTGCTATGTCTATATATATATATATATATAATATATACACACACACTCTATACCCCTTACATACCCTCATACCCCCTCATATAAACCAACTATACTGCTATACACAGACACTCTATACTCCCTATATACCACCTATACACACACACTACAGCTCATATAAACCGACTATACCCCCTATGCACACACTACCAATTATACAAACACACTACATCCCATATGCACAAACAATATCACTCTGGTACATACACACACACACACTACAGCACCTATACACAAACAATATTACATACACACTACATCTCCTAATATACACACAATGTAACATCTTCACACATATACAAACACTGCTGCCGCTAGATACAAACACACACTACAGCCCCTACAGAAACACACTACAGCATCTGTTTTTAAGATGGAATTTGCAGGATTTGGCAACATACTGGGTGTGAGGCTTAAAGGACCACTATAGTGCCAGGAAAACATACTCGTTTTCCTGGCACTATAGTGCCCTGAGGGTGCCCCCACCCTCAGGGTCCCCCTCCCGCCCGGCTCTGGAAGGGGAAAGGGGTTAAAACTTACCTTTTTCCAGCGCTGGGCGGAGAGCTCTCCTCCCCGTCGGCTGAATGCGCACGCGCGGCAAGAGCTGCGCGCGCATTCAGCCGGTCACATAGGAAAGCATTCATAATGCTTTCCTATGGACGCTAGCGTGCTCTCACTGTGAAAATCACAGTGAGAAGCACGCAAGCGCCTCTAGTGGCTGTCAATGAGACAGCCACTAGAGGATTAGGGGGAAGGCTTAACCCATTAATAAACATAGCAGTTTCTCTGAAACTGCTATGTTTATTAAACAATGGGTTAACCCTAGCTGGACCTGGCACCCAAGCTGAAGTGGTCTGGGTGCCTAGAGTGGTCCTTTAAAAGTGAGGCCTGAATCAAGTATGACACCAACACAGCGCGCTTGCAAGGATGGACTTATGTGGATACCACTAACTTGAAGGAAGAGCGAAAGAGGAGGATCAGTATTAGGAGGAGGAAAGACAAGGAGCTCAGTTTTAGAGAGACTGAGTTTCAGAAAGTGGGAGGACATCCAGTCAGAGATGGAAGAAAGGCAAGCAGTGACACGTTGCAGGACGGCAGGGAGGATAGATATATCTGGGTGTCATCAGCGTACAGGGGGTAGTGTAATCCAAAAGAGGTAATAAGTTTGCCAAGAGAGGCAGTATAAAGAGAAAATAGAAGGGGACCAAGGACAGAGCCTTGGGGGTCTCCAACCAAGACGGGACGAAGGGAGGCGGTATCATTAGAAAAGGAGAAACTGAATGAGCGTTGGGAGAGATAAGAGGAAAACCATGAGAGGACAGAGTCAGAGACCGAGTGATTGAAGAGTTTTCAGAAGGAGAGCTTGCTCAATGGTGTCAAAGGCAGCAGAGAGGTCAAGAAGAATTAGTATTGTGTTTTTATACCCCACCTCCTCTAGACTGTAAGCTCGTTTGAGCAGGGTCATCAACTACGTATTGTTCCTGTTACATTGTTATTGTCTCATTTGGTAAATACCACTTTTATTGTAAAGCGCTGCAGAATAAGCTGGCGCTATATAAATACCAATAATAATATAGGGTAGTGTCCTTTGGATTTAGCTGCGATTAGTTCTTAGTAACTTTGATAAGAGCAGTCTCAGTAGAGTGGAGAGGAGGGAAGCCAGATTGAAGAGGGTCAAGGAGAGAGTTGGAATTGAGGAAGTAAGACTTACATGTAAAGACAAGTCTTTCCAGAAGTTTTGAGGAAAAAGGGAGCAGGGATATGGGACGATAATTAGAGGGGGGTCAAGAGATGTTTTTTTCAGGATAAGTACTACAGAGGCATGTTTAAGTCAGCAGGGACAACACCAGAAAAGAGAGAGGTGCATGTTTGGAGCGGGGCTGCAGCGTTCAAGGCAGAGGTGAGGGTAGGTGACACACATTAGATCTGAGCGCATGTGGATATGGCCAGTGAGGGACAGGAGAGGGAAGGGATGGATTGCAGTTGTGAATCAATATCAGCTGACAGCTGCTGGGGTCAATAGAATGAAGGTTCCTCCTGAGATGAGGAGGGTTAGGCAGAGGCTGTTGGGTGAGGGGCTACTTGAGAGCAAATGATAAGAGGTGGTGATCAGAGAAAGGAAATGGAGTGTTGCAGATATTAGATACTGTACATGTATAAGAGAAAATGAGGTTGACGGTATTTCCAACTATATGGGTGGGAGAATTAGCTCACTGTGATAGC